TGAATTTAAAGTCCTGGCCATGGTGGGTGGGAGCTGGCTTCTCTGCCTTTCCCAGCACTATTGTGCTGACTTTTAAATCTGTTCTAATCTGACAGTGTAAAATGACTTCTCTTCATTGTGACACGTACTGGATTTTGAAGTTGTCCTTTCTATATATCTGAAAGCCACGTGTTTCCATTTATGTTCCCAMTTCTTTGCCCAGTCTGACTCCATCGCACCTGTGTCAGTGTATCCATGCTGTATATGCTGCCTCCCTGACAGTCACCTAAGTGGCTGTCTAGTTATCAGATAGATGGTCAGGTGTCCTGATGCTTGTGTTCAGGTGACTCCTACATTACTTAATGTGGACTCTAAAGAGCAAAGATAGTGGTGCTGGCAATTCAGAGGTGATAAAAGACGACTCGCATTCCTCCCAGGACAGAGATTTCCTGACACTACTCAGAAAGTACGAGATCTAAAGTCCATGACGTGCTCATGTCTGGAATTTCCCACGACCACAGCTGCATATAACTGAAACCAAAGGAAGCAGAAGTTCAGATGGGGGGGGGGGGCGACTCCGGGCCCCAGGTCTGTTTTCTCCCCACTCTGGCAACACTGCGGCCACTTGAGTCTGGACTGGCTGGTCCTCTGCCCTGCTGCTGCCTTTCCCCTGGTCTTTTCTCCATCCAGGGGACAATGGATTCTTCCAAACCAGAAGCCGGTCATGCCTCTCCTCTGCTCACCGCCTTCCACTGGCTCCATCTACCCAGAGTCGAAGGCTTTGCTGTGGCTCACCAGTCCCTGGGGAGCCTCGAGGGGCCTGGGCCCTCTGCTCCTGCGCCCACTCAGGCCCTCCCGGGTTTCACTCTCCTGGCCATTGGTCCCTGGAGAAGGTCCCTCCCCTACCTCAGCTCGGCTCAGAGGCCCCTGCTGAATGACACCTGCCTGGTGGATCCGGGCCTCTACCACAGCTCCTGCCCTTGCTAGCTTTAGGCTCACTGTGACCTTCCAACATGCCATGCTTTCCTGCCGTTTATGGCCATTGTCCCCAAATGGAATGGAATCTCCTTGTTTTCCCATTTTTAAAGTTGCCATGGTAGCCACACTTAGAATTTGCTATCAAATAAACATGAGATAAATATTTGCCAAATGAGCAGAGGGTTGAGTTAAATAGTCACTTACGCTCCTGCATGGTGGCCTTTTTTTCTCTTTGTGGTACTGGAGATAGAAGCCAGGCCTTGTGTGCTAGGCCAGTGCCCCACCACTGAGCAGCCCCCAGCTCCTCGCCAGAACCGGGCTCAGGGGTGTGAGGAATGCCAACAGCCCTTCAGTGTGTATATTTTTATTTATTTTGAGACAGGGTCTCGCTAGGTGGCCGAGGCTGGTCTTGAACTTGCAATCTCCTGCCTTAGCCTCCCAGGTAGCTGATCACAGGTGTGCACCATCATAACCAACAGTCTTTCTCGTGGTGTGAAGGGAATCAGATGTTTCTGGCATTAATGTAGAAAATATCTTCCTAGTTTTTGCTTTATGATTTTATTTAGGTATTTTTTTCTATGCAGAAGTTTTGATAACTAGGTAGGCAAAATATTTAATTTTTAATTTGTGGTTTCTGGATTTTTATACAGATTAAAAAACTTTTGTGTGTATGTATGTGTGTGTGTGTGTGTATATATATATATATATATATATATATATATCTGCTAAAATATACATAGAACATAAAATTTGCCATTTTATATGTGCCCTTCAGTGACATTAAGCACATTCACACTTTGCACAACCGCCCATCTGTCCACCTCCCTCTTTCCCTCTCTCCCTCCCTGTCTCCCCCTCCCTGTCTCCCTCTCCCTGTCTCTCCCTCTTTCTCTCCTTCTCCCTGTCTCTCCCTCTCCCTGTCTCTCTCTCTCCCTGTCTCTCCACTCCCTGTCTCCCTCTCCCTGTCTCTCCCTCTCTGTCTCTCCATCATCTGCTTCCACCTCCCTCTCTCTCCCTCCCTGTCTCCCTCTCCCTATCTCCACCTCCCTCTCTCTCCCTCTCCCTGTCTCTCCACCTCCCCAGTCTCCACCTCCCTGTCTTCCCCTCCCTGTCTCTCCCCCTCTCAGTCTATCCCTCTCCCTGTCTCTACCTCCCTGTCTCCACCTCCCTGTCTCCACCTCCCTGTCTCCCTCTCCCTGTCTCTCCCTCTCCCTGTATCTCTACCTCCCTGTCTCTCTCCCCTTGTCTTACCTCCCCGTCTCCAACTCCCTTCTCTCCACCACCCTGTCTCTCCCTCCCTGTCTCTCCACCCCTATCTCTCCACTTCCCTGTCTTCCCCCCCCTCCCTGTCTCTCCCTCCCTGTCTCCACCTCCCTGTCTCTCCACCTCCCTGTCTCTCCACCCCCCTGTCTCTCCCTCCCTGTCTCTTCCTCCCTGTCTCCTTCTCCCTCCCTCCCTCCCTCTCCCCCCTTCCCTGTCTCTCCCTCTCCCTGTCTCTCCCTCTCCCTGTCTCTCCCTCTCCTGTCTCTCCGTCTCCCTGTCTCTCTCCTTCCCTCTCTCTCCCTCTCTCCCTCCCTCTCTTTTCTCCCTGTCTCTCCCTCTCTGTCACTCCATCCCCTTGTATCTCCCTCCCTGTCTCCACCCCCTGTCTCTCTCTGTCTCCACATCCCTCTCCCAATCTCTCTGTCTCTGTCTCTCCAGTCCCCCCCCCACCTCCCTGCCTCCCTGCTTACACACCTTTTCCCTCTGAACACTAAGTCTCCTTCCGGCCTCCCCCTGTTTCTACCTGTCTCCAGGGGTTGGGCTACTGTCCAGGCACCAATTTGAGGAACGTATCTCTGTTTTGATGTTCGGGGATAGGGGACACATTCTGGCCGCTATTTATTAAGAACGGCGGCGTTGAGATGTTTCCTTCCTTTGGGCTCAAACCCTGTAGGCCCCTGCACCCAGCCCTCCTGGTAGGAAGCTCATCTCCAGTGGGACTGACCACTGCCTCCCAGGAGCTCCGCCTCCACTGACCTGGATAACTGTGGGTTCCCAGGGTGGCTCCCTCTCCCTGTCTCCACCTCCAGTGGCCAGTGGAGCTGAGGGGTCAGCCTTTTACCAGGGCACCCTGAGACCCACCAGCTACAGGGGCCGCTGGACCTACCAGAGGGTGTCCTGCAAGAGAAACCTAGAGTGTGAATCCCACCCAACTCCATGGTGAGTGTCCCCTCTGAAGTGGGTATGAGAATTCCCAGGTCCCAGAGACAAAGGAGGTGCGGATGCCCTCCGGGGCTGGTCTGTCAACTCTGAGCACATGGGCTAGCAGGAGGGGTCAGCCCACTTTCCAGCCCCAGCCCCTCCTGTGGCCTGCCAGGGCACAGTGGGCGGGCAGCTGGGCAGGAGGGTCTGCCATCAAGTGCAGGAAGCGGGAGCCAGTGGGGGAGAGGGAGGCGTCACTAACCATGGCCGCTCCCGAGTGTGTTCCTGCCTGTTCCTGTTGGTACCTGGGGGCGGGTGGAACTGTCTTCACTCCCGTGTTTTGTGTTCGGTTTTGGTTTCGGCGCTGGGGTGCATCCCCCGCCCAGTGCACACCTGGTGAGCCCTGTACCCATGAGCAGCATCCCCAGTCCTAGTTACCCTCACTTCACACATGAGAAGACGGAGGGTCACAGGGAGATTTCATGGGAGAAAGAAGCCTGGCTGAGATGGCAGCAGGGGGACCTTGGGTCTGAGGCTCAAGCTCGCCTGAGGAATCAAGCAGTGCCAGGATGGCTCTGGACATCCTAGAAGAATCCCTGGCCCTTCTCTGCCTCAGTGGCAACCCAGGCGAGGAGCACAGTATGGTTCTGAGAACTCAGAGGGTGTGCAGCCCACAGCAGGCTCCTCCCACATCTACTCATGAGACAGTTACTGAACCAGGCCAGAGCTGGCATGAGGCAGGCACAGGGCAGACAGACACCACTCAAACCCAGTGTGGAGTCCCCACAATCCTGCTTCCTCCCCAAAGACTGCGTCAGTCGGTAGAAAATAGAAGTCAGTGGACAAAGTTGCAGGCCATCCTTAGGAACATGCAGCCCTGGAGGCCAGAGAATCGAGCATGTGGGTCAAGCCAGTGTACTTGGGCTCTGTGTTACAGCGACTTGGCTGTTCCCGAGCTGACTCATGAATGTGTGGTATGCTGCATGGTGAGGTTTCCAACAATGGCCTCCCACATGGTGCTCCCAGAAGATCGTATTGCCGAGTGATGTCACAGCTTCAGCACAACACATACACTCCACGATGTTTGCAATTATCTACTTGCCTAACAAGTTATTTCCCAAAACATATGTTTTTACATACAGCCCACTGAGCAAGAAGGACAGTAAGAACAGTGTCCTCTCAACTGTTTCCATGGATTACTACGAGGGTGGGCAGGGTGGGAAAACAACACAGGAGTGTTGAGGGGAAAGTTCTCCAACAGCGTCTCAGTTTCACAATCACACCCAATATCTGGGTGACCGTGGGAAACACACCTTCTCCCACTTCATGCCACAAGAAAATACCAGAGGCCTGATAACTTATAAAGAAGAGACRTTCTGGAGGCGGGGAAGTCCATGAATATGGTGCCTGGCTTCTGGCGAGGTGGTGAGACAGCAAGTGTGCATGCTCAGGTCTCGTCCTCTTGTAAGGCCATGGATGCCATCATAGCCCCATGACCTCATCAAATCCTGTGACTCCCCAAAGGCCCTACCACCACGAGCCAATAACACGAGCCTGGGGACCAAATCCCCACCTGGTGGGAGGAGGCACCTACAGCAGGAGGGAGCTGTGGAGCAGGACTCCTAACCACAACAAAACATGGCCAATTTCAGTTCTCCACGTACCCTGGCCCTCCTCCCTCTGCAGGGAGGAGGCTGTGCCCTGGGGCAGGGGCAGCAGGTGGAATGCATGGACGGTCAGTCTCATTGGAATCTGTCCCTTTTATTTTCAATATCCCTCTGGGTACCCGAAGGCAAAGCAGTGGGCACAGGGTTCCCACGTGCCCTGGGAACAGCCCTTGGCAGGTGTCTTTGCTACTCCTACTGGTAAAATGGCAGGAGAGGCCCCCACCGATACAAGATGGGGACCTTGAGCGTTTGGTGACGAGGACAGGGACAGCCAGGCAGCAGAAGGTAGCCTTTGCCCTCCGCTGCAGCAGGTTGGTGCCAGGGTTCCAGGAGGCACGGGAAGTGGGTGATCTGGGGAAGCTTATTGGGGTCGCCCTGGGCCAGGCACAGGTTGGGGGAAGCCGGGTACGCCCAGGGGCAGATGCTGGACAGCACGCACCTCGACCCTGACTCCGACTCCGCGCTGGCCCCAGAGTCCTGTGGAGGGAAGAAGCCGGGCAGTCCCAGGTCTCTGGCAGTCATGAGGGGTCTTTCGAAGGCAGGGAACCCGTCCTCCAGCTTGGGGTTGGGGCTGGCCACAGGCCTATAGAACTCTTTGTAGCAGAGCTGGGCATCGAGCTTGGCCTGCTGTGGAGACAGATCACAGGCCAGGGCTGAGGAGGACAGGCACCCCAGACAAAGCGCTTTTCTTTATTTTTAAAAGTTCTAAACTCTGCGTGGTGGTGTGAGTGGCAGAGGGACTGCTGGGGGACAGAGGGCTTAGGCGGGACTCAGGCTTGCTCCCCCAGGGAAGCCCCCGGGGTCTGTGCCTTTCTAGAATGTTTCGTGGACGTGGGAACATCTGCGTGTGCATCTGCCCCAGCTGCTGGGCTCTGCGTGGCCCGCCATTCTGCTCCCCCTGGGTTCCCGTCTGTGGATTGACACCTCCCTCCGTCTGGGTCTTGTTTTGGGTGGGGAAAGAGGCCCTGGGAGAGGAATGATGGTGACTCTGACCACTGTGCACATGACAGTTATGTCCAGTACAAACCAGCGACCAAGACCACTCCTGCCACGCGGCCCACGGAGGCTGCCAGCCTGGAGCATCTGAGCGCCCTGCAGGTTCAGCAGCACACCTGGCGCCCGCTGGGCAGCGATAAGGAATGGCCTGTGACAGGGGACCGCCTGCGACAGGGCACGACCTCTCACCGGGGAAGAGACGGCCCATCTGCAGTCGGTGACCGGAACCACGACCGCATGCACTGAACAGCACTCAAAGGCCTGGCAATGCCCACGACAGCCAGAGGGCAGGGGGCAGGAGTGACTGTCCACTACTAGGGGGACACACATGGGGAGAGGAAGGGGCTCAGCCTCCCCCAGACCCCCATCCCACCTCTGGGTGAGTGAACGCCACGGGCCAGGTGGCCAGGTGTGGCTGAGTGGGACAAGTGCCCAGAGGAAAGGGGAAGTCCCCTGCTGGGTCACCCAGGGCACTCGGTCATGAAGGCCAGGGGAGGGTATGAGTGGCCCAGGCCAACACGGGAGAACATTCAAAGGCCATTTGTTCAAAGGGACACACATAGGGAGAAACCACTGCACAGGAGGCCCACAGGAAGGAGGGCTTGGGGCTACACAGGAGGCGCAGGCGTGAGGGGCCCTGGGTGGTGATGTGGGTACTTGGTGCTGCCTCTGTCAGTGTCATGTATTATTTACAGTCTTTCCTACGTGGTGCTTTTTTGTTTGTGTTTTGCAGTAGGAGGGATTGAACCCAGGGGGGCCTGACCACTGAGCCACGTCCCCAGCACTTTTGACTTTTTATTTTGAGACAGGATCTCTTTGTGTTGCTGAGGCTGACTTTGAACTTGCAGTCCTCCTGCCTCAGCCTCCTGAGATGCTGGAATTACAGGTGTGCGCCACCGCGCCTGGCTGTGTGCATAATTTCTATATGATGTGCATTTTAACCAGTGCCCACACACGTGCAGACACACACATGCAGACACACACATGTACACACACATGCAGACACACAGGTGCAGACACACATGTGCGCGCACACATGCAGACACACATGCAGGCACACAGGGCCTCTGAGCCAGACCTCCTGGCACTGGGGTTGTTTTTGGTAAGTGTGTAAGGTCTGCACTCGTGGGGGGCGAGCAGGGCGGCTCAGGTAGAGAGCTGAGTGGGTGTCAAGGCGGTGACACTGTCCTACCTCTCCCGGCATGGCCCTGGAGTATCTGTGCTTCCCGTAGGGCTGGAAGTGCACCATGTAGGAGCTCTGGTACATGTCTAAATCCACAGGGGCCTAAGCACAGGGAGAGTGGGAAAGAAGATCCCGGTCTCGTCACCCTTCCTCTAAGCCATCCAAGGGCTTCTCGCTGCAGGAGGAGAGCCAGCTGTGGGGCCTGGCGTCCACCTGCCTTCACCACCTCCCCACCACGGCATGTCCAGCCGCTCCTCTTCCCACTTGTCCCCAGGCTGCACCTTGCTGTCTCCTGATGGAAACAGGGTTCCCTCTTCTCCCGCCAGCAAACTCCTAGGTATCCTTCAAGACCCAGATCAAATGCCACTTCCCCCAAAGTCTCTCTCCCAACCTTCCATTCTCCACCTTGCCGGAATCAAACCCTTTCCCTTCTGCTCGGAGAACAGTTTCACCCCCTACAGGGCGGTCCTGTGGTGTGCCGTGAGGATTTAAAGAACCTTGTCTTAGGCATCTCTGTAGCCCAAGCCCAGCACAGGTGCCTGGCACACTGTGGGTGCCTAATAAATGCATGCTGGATAAATAAATAGACCCCAGAATGCTGTAACGCTTAGCTGCTCTATGCCTGTTTCAAAAACATAAAAACAAAGGCCTTTGCTCCAGATGAGCAGAGGGAGCCTCCAAAGAGCCCCGTCCTCTCCTGGGGCTCCTTGCTGAGATGGTCACAGAGGACCACACCACTCACCTGTCCTGGGTACACCGTACGTTCCATGTCCAAGGCTCTAGAGGGACAAATTGGTTAGCCAGCAGCTACCATCGAAAGTCGTGCCTACCAAGACCTGTTCCTGCTCCTCCTGTCTATGCCTCCGACCTCCTGGACACCTCCCTGCACAGAGCCCCCACCCAGGGTTGCTGGAGGCACAAGAGACCCATGGATGGTGGACAGGGGCCCTGGGTCAGGGGACCTAAGGCCTCTCACACATCAGGTTTACCTCTCCCACAGGAGAGGCAGACAGAGGGCAGGTGGTTTGTGGGAAATGTCAAACCACCACCTGTGTAGGGAATGTAAGCCCTGAGCCCATACTTCCAGCCAATTCCATGGTGTAAACACTCCACCTAGGAAGTCACTGAGACTGGACTGCAGGATGTGCACACTCAGGCCCTAGGGAGCCAGCTCCCTGCACCCGGTTCCCACGGGCCCGAGGCTCAGCCTGCCTGGGGGAGGCTGACCCAGGCCCAGCCCCAGGCACCCCACTCAGGAGCAAGCATGTTCTGGGCCAAGAGTCAGCAGCTCTGCATTCGAGTTTCAGGACGGCAGCTCGAAATCCAGCCTGCCCCTCGGCCACAGCACCCGTGAGCTCAGAGAGCTCACTCCACTGCATGTGTGTGGACCCTTGGGGGTGTTGGGGGTCACAAGCTCTGGGGCTTGAACCCAGGGATGCTCTCCTACTGAGCTAGATCCCCAGCCCTTTTTATTTTATTTTGAGTCAGGGTCTTGCCAAGCTGCCCAGGCTGGCCTTTAACTTGCCATCCCCCAGCTCAGCCTCTCGAGGCCCACATCACAGGTGTGGGCCTCTGTGCCCAATGACCTGACACTCTTGATGAGGGCTCCATTCACTCTTCTGAGCAAGCCGTGGCCAGCAGGAGGGGCGCAGGCATAGCTCAGCTGGCCCCATGTCCCTCCTGTGTAGACAACTGCTCTCCCAGGGACTGTGGACCCTCTTCCATGCTCGGAGCCTACCCCTCCTTCTGCCAGCATGCACGGTGTTCCTGCCCTTGTAGCCCAAGTGCCCCTGCTGCAGGGAGAGCTGGCGTGGTGTCCCATGCCACACCTGTGCCTAAGATAGCCTGACCCATGCCGTGAGGCTGTTGTGGTCACAGGCCTGGCCATTGTGATGTGGTGGTGAGTCAGCTATCCTGCATGGCAGTGCCCCGTGCCTGGCTCACATCTTCAGAGAGAGCCTCAGCAGTCTGCACCCCGGGGCCAACATGAACCCTGGTGGCACGGAGTGGCACCAGGGTCAGGCACTGTCGACATTGCACAGCAAGTGGAGAAGCAGGTGATCAGAAGAAGCCCAGGTGGTTTGTGACATCAGACTATCCAGCTGAATTACCTTATGCCACAGTCCCCAGGCCTTTGCTGCTTGGGGGGCCGCTCACTCTGTGTCCAAATCCCACCCTCTTTTGCATTCGTTAGGATGAATAAAATCAGAAAAACAACACAACACAGAAAATAAGAGCAGTAGTGGAGGGCACTGAGAAATCCCAGCCTTTGTTCATTGCTAGTGATCATGCACAGGGGCAGCAGCTGCTACGGAAAATAGTTTGGTGCTTTCTCYAGAGGTTAATCCCAGACTCACCACACAATCCAGCAATTTCAGTTGTCATAAATCAAACAGTTGCAAGCAGGGATTCAAACACATCATGCGTATGCCGGTGTTTAAGGCAGCATGACTCACTATGCCCAACACCCACCAGAAGATGAATGGATCATCCAAATGTGGTACATACACATAGTGGAGTATTACACAGCCTTGATGCTAAACATGCATAAACTTGAAGTGAAAGGTTAATAAAATAGGTACTTGTCACTCCGTTTCTCTATATGCTTAACAAAACACTGTTGAAATCTTAAGAACTGTTTGCTAATCTTGTTCTCAGAATGTGCTGTCCCTAACTGTGGACTGTCTGCTAATCTTGTTCCCAGAATGAGCTGTCCCCAACTGCCAAACTACAAAATGTAACTTCTCTCACTGCCCTCTCCAGGGAAAGTATATAAGCTCTGCTCAAGTTGTTCTCAGGGCTCTATCTCTAATTGCTATAGAGGGAGCCCTAGCATGCTGGTCTCCAAATAAACCCACCCTTCTGCTTTTGCATAAGACAGTCTCTTGCGGTCTCTTACTCCGACGTTTCGCCAGACCCTTACAGAAGATACTGTACTTAGTGGAAAAAAGAGCATCACGAAAAAATAAACGAGGTATGATTCCACTTAATACAGGTGCCTAGTCCAACCAGATTCACAGAAAAAGAGAAGAGCTTCCAGGGACTGGGGGAAGAGAAAATGAAGAGTGATGTTTAAATGGRCATGGAGGTGGGAAGAGGGTGAGGTGCCAGGGATAGGCAGTGGTGATGGCTGCTCACCTCTGTGGCTGTGCTTAATGCCTATGAACTGTCACTGAAAATGGCTAAAATAGCTGGGCACGGCGGTCCCCAGTGTACACAGTGGTGCATGGTGTACACAGTGGTGCACAGCACTGCACACCTGCATTCCCAGCTAGTCAGGAGGCTGAGCTGGAGGATCACAAGTTCAAGGTCAATTTGGGCAAATTAACCAGACATTGTCTCAAAAAATAAACAGCTAGGGCCTCTCGCAGTGGTAGAGTGCTTGCCTCGCACATACAGGCCCTGATTCAGCCCCTGGTGCCACAAAAGGAAAAAACAAAGCAAACAAAGAGCAGCGGTTAAGTGGTGTGTATGTACACAGCCAGGCCCAAGCGCACGCCTGTTATCCCAGCAGCCCAGGAGGCTGAGACAGGAGGATCGCAAGCTCAAATCCAGCCTCCGAAACTTAGTGAGACCCTGTCCCTAAATAAAAATTAAAAAGGCCAGGGACGTGGCTCTGTGGTTAAGTGATCCAGGGTTCAATCCCTGGTACAAAAGAAAAGGAAAAAAAAAAAAAGAAAAAGTTCCTGTGAATCCGATAAAGCTGAAAGAGACAGCAGGGAGCGGGCACAGCAGGAATGTCCACAGGGGACGGCGGGTGAGGCCAGTGGTTCTGTGGCCCAAGCATAATCTTTTTCAGGGAAATATGGGCCACTCGMCTTTGCAACCTGTCCTCATCCTGACACTGTGGGTGCCCCTTCATGGCAGTGCAGTCAGCAGGCACCCTGGAACACAGTCCCAGCAGACCCTAGGGGGCTGAGACTCCTATTGTCTGGGACAGCGAGGTGGCAGTGCGTGCGTCCCCGCGTGCCAGGGAGAGGCCGCCCATCAGTCCAGGACAGCAGGGCAGTGTGTACAGTACGTGGGCTCCACACCTGCTGTGCTGCGGGGCCACTGTGTGCTCCTGCTTAGAACCAAGGCCCCCGAGGGGCAGCAGCCCAGGCCCCCTCACTCGGTCCCTGCCTGAGTGAATCTGGTGTCAGTTTGCTCCTCAGCTCCCAAGCTGCTGGAATCACAGGCATGGCCACCACACCCCATACCCAGTGAACTTCTAAGAACAGGTCCTTTTTGCTAAACAATGTGAGTCTATACTTACTGTCCTGCTGCCCTGATCAATGGTGTAAGTTCAGAAGAAGGCAGCTGGACCATCTGAGGGACAGACGCCATAGCTACCTGGAGAGGTTGCGGGAGTCAAGTGCATGTGTCGCGTGTCTGTGAGGGAACCCCAGCTGGTCCTGCCAAGGTGGCTCAGGTTCCTGAAGGGCTCTATGCCAGGTGCCCCTCCTCTTGGAGGTCTGGGGGTGCATCCTTGGTGGTCTGGTGTGCTCCATAACTCACAGGCCTGGTTTGCCAACATGGATTTGATGTGTCTGCAATTCCGCCTGCTTCTGACTGATTTGATGGATCCACAGATGGCCATTCTCATTAGCGTGGCTAATTTACTTTTCATCTGTGCCTGGTAGCTGTGCCAGGCAGGTGGCGGCTGTCCACTGGGACAGACAAAGCATGCAGTCATTTCTTCCAGCACTGAGACCCGACGTGGARGAGCCCGTGGCCGCTAGCCTTGCAGAACCAGCAAAGTCCTGGGCAGGCCAAGCCCTGCTGCTCCACAGACCGTGGAGGAACTCGGGGAGCTGCCCTCCCTGGGCACAGGGGGGTCCATGACTTTATCCTCTGCCCCTGCGTGATGAAGGTGGCCGGGGGGTGAGACAAGGTGCCGGCGGACCTGGAGAGATGTGGGTTGGTTGAGGGGTGTTTAGAAAGGAGAGGGTCCAGGGTTCAGTCATGATTATAATGGAAGTGGCAGGGACGAGAGGCCCAGAGAGGTGCCTTTTGGAAGGAGCCCCTGGAGCCTGTGATTACCTAGCTCCTGGCCTGGTATGCTGTAGGATTGTTAGGGAATGCCCCCAGAGTGACTTCCATGTCACCCTGCAGCCTGGAAGGAGTGCCTGCCCCAGCTCCTGTCTGTGTAAACCCAACAGGTTCACGTTGGACTCAACTCGCAGGAGGAAAGCCTTCTGAGCGGGAGCCTCCAGCCTCCTAATAAGGGGATTACAATCCATTTCCTTCCTGACCCAATAATGCCCATGGAAGGCCCCAGGCCAGGATTAGGGCCTTTAATTACAGCCACCGATTCTGGCTGCTCACAGCTGGACACTGAGGGCGGTGAGCCCCGGCCCCCACCCCTGTAGGCCTCAGGCCCAGGCCCCAGGAGGCCCAAGCAACACCCCCTCCTGAGGGGCCACCGCCTGCAGGGACCGGCCTCCAGGGGAGCCCAGGGCAGGCGAACCAAGGGCAGCCCCAGCGCACAGCAGGCAGGACAGGAGGCCAGCTGGGCACTCTTAGCTTTCAGGTGGACATGCCTGAAGACTCATTTGGGCTCCCCTGGGCCACTCAATGGCCTCCACTCCAAGGCCTGGGGGACCTTCTCATCCCGGGACCCACCCTGTAACACAGAGCCTTCCAGGGCTGGGACAGAGGCGGACAGCCCATCAGCGCCAGCAGGTGGTGGGTGTGCAGGGTGGGCACCCTKCGAGGTGATTAGGCAGAGACAGGACCTCGGGATGTTAGCGTCCTCGGTCAACACACGTACAGGGGTGCCCCCTTATCCACCGGGACA